TGGAAACCGTGGATCAGTTTACTTCGCCCAAACTGTATGCTTCTTATCAGTAGCGAAAAGTACAAACTATGAAAAAAACATTGTTGAAATTCTTTCATGGCGGGGCGCGAAGTGTAAAAGCTTAGCGAACAGCAGAGGTGAGTAGTCAGTTGCAAAAAATTACTTGAGACATGGGGCTGCATCTCGTGCACATTTGAAAAAAAAAAAAACTATTTATATGCATTAGATTTAAGCACATGACATTTAATGGAAAAAGGTGACAGGGAAATTCATTCAAATACAAAATGCGCAATATGACAAATGAAGTTTTGCTTCCCTTTTATGTGAATATGACCCAATTTTTTATAAAAAATACGTGTTCGGCTGGCGATTCTTCTGTTCTGGACAGCTTGCACCGGCTAATTCAGATATGCTTTCACCAGAAATGCTTGCTGCACTTCAGCTTCAAAATATAGCAACAAAATTTCACCGTTTCAGGCTATGACATGTCGCAACATGTACGTCGCTATGGCAAATATATAAGCGAGAAAATTTACACATACAGGCTATGTGCTTTTGATTTTTGCAAAGTGAAACGAGGGCGTGAGGATGGCCTTCTGCGAACAATGAATACGGACAAGGTGGTTGCTGTATATGCATTGGAAAACTACATCCAAAATGACGGGGATTTAGTCAGTCCGATGGCGGGACATGTAGCTAGATACTTTTCACGGGGATTTTCCTTTAAACCCCAAACTTCACTGCACTTCTCACAGTCACCAAAAGTTTCTTTTCTTTATAATCTCTTCATTCCCTTTATTTTCGTGCTACCTTCGAAGAAGTGACTGATTTGCTTCGAACAAACGGTGAATACTGCTGGGAGGTATACAGCTTGGGATGGATGAGCAAAAATGGCTGAATTCATTGTTTGAGGGCGTCTCATGGGTAACATCATAACATCGGTCCCTACATCCTTTTTCCAGGCAGTTTGGATAATCTTAATTTTGGTTTATCAGTGTTTTTTTTAAAGTCGTTGCAGGCCATATTTTTTACTTTTTTTTTTTCAGTTACTGAAAACGTTGCCGATTTTGCAAAATCAAATTGACGCTCTTCTCGAATTTCAAGTACGTTTTTTGTTTGTCATAATCTCTGAAACGAAAAGTGAACAGTCATCGAGCGGTTTCTTG